TATATATAATTATATATATATATAAAAAGGGGTGAGAAATCTTTTATATTCTCAATTTTAAAATGCAAATGACCAGTCAAAAGAAAAATTAACCCCTAATCTAGTTCCAGAGATCGAATGTAGTTTTCCCGTATTAGATATTTAAAATTTTGTTTGTGTTATCTCCCATTAACAGAGGCAATTTAACTGAATATGATTTTTGACTTGTTAATATTTCTATTTTGAATCTGCTCTTCTGTGGTTATCATGACCCAACTAATATAAAGTAATTTTAGTAATTCTGCTTCGACTGGAGAAGCGATTCATGATTTCCCTAGTCTTGATTCTTTTCCTGTTAACTGAAAAGTAGCAGTCTTCCTAAATGGAGAACGCTGCTCTGCTGTCAGTCAGCATTTATTAGGTACCTCCATAGTGTCAGGCTCTGTGTCACTTAAAAGTTGATATTCTTTCTCTAAAGTGGTCCCTCGATCGTATGGGTACTCAGGTTTATGACTGGAAATATTCAGGTGACTCCTTCCTGACTAGACAAGAAGAATAAGAGTTAGAGATAGTTGATACATAAATCTCCTTCATTTCCTTTTTCTTCCAAACTGAAAACCCATGGCATTTAGCAGGAAGTTAATTTTTAAAAGTGAAAATTTATTTCCCTATTGCAAGTTATATTTCTCCTAGAATTCCAGATATCAGACATACCCCCCCATTAGCATCCATTTAGACTTATATTTTCATGAGGTAGTATTAGAATTTTTTTTTTTATGAAAAAATTTTCTTGGAAGTTGGAATCATTAATTTTGCCTCCTCTAGTTCACTTCCAGCAAGTAAACTGATTAGAATTCTTCGAATGTCTGACCCTGAAAGAGGACAAACTACGTTGCCTTTCCGACCTGTGTCTCAAGGAGAAGAAGAAGACCGGGGTTGATTTACTGTGGCTGACTGTGCCACACCCTCATGTTGAAAGACGTGTAAGGGGAGACGCCCGGGACTATGGGAAATAAAATGAAACTAAAGACATTCTGCGGCGGAGACTCACTTATGTATCTGACACGATAAGCCTAGAAGACCGGCCACAGCCCGCAATTTAAAATTATAATTACTTTGCTTTGAGAAAATCAACTTCATAGTACTGGTTTTAAATCTTTTTAAGTTTGTTTGTTTTTCATTTTAACCATCTACTTTTATAGATTCTTTTTCAGAAGTTTAAAATTTTGTACATATGTACATGTACATATCTGTTTAGTTTGGGTTCATTTCTATAGTATTTTGTAAGAATTAAAATAAAGATTTGCTCACCCGGTTATATTTAGTTTTGCTTTTCCAGAATATTACATTATTCTCATTGCAGGGCGTGGGGCAGCGCCCAGGCGGGCTGTGAACAGGGACCAGTTTACAATAGATTCATTGTCTGTTTTGTGCTTATTAATGAGGAGGGACCTACACAGGACCGTAGGAACTTTGGTCACAATCCCTGCACAGGTCATTTTTAACCCTAGAGATACAATTGCAGACTGGGACGGTAGTTTTAATTATTGTGTTTCATCACATTTAAGATGCTCTCTGTTAAGGCACGTTCTCGGAGCTTTACTAAAGCACTGCCAGTCCTGACACGGTGCCTTTCTCTGAGTCCCTTAACCATCATCCACCCTACTAAGTGTCCAGCCTGTGTCGGAACTGGGTTATGACCCACTGGTGCGTCCTGACCTGCAGTGTGATTGCTTGCTTGCTTTAAAGTCCCGCAGTTTGCAGTCCAAAGCATCTCAAGCTCTGGCTCAGTCGAGAGAGGACACAGGCCAGAGGGACTGTGCAGACCAGGCTGAGGAGAGGGCTGGGGAAATCGGGGCAGAGGACAGCTCCCTTATAAGACACACCCTGATTTTAGAGTTGTTCAAAAGTGTGCTCCCTAGAATGATAAAATACAGCCTGTTGTAAGCAATGGTATTTATGAACTTTTTTTAAAAGAAAACATGAGTAGAACTCCTGCTTGCATTCTCTACGTTTGATACTAGGATTAGTGCTGACCTTTTTAGAAAGACGTGGATACCAACAAGAAGAATTCCCTATATTGCTAGCAATAAATATTTGTGAAATTGAAAGGAAGTATTTTAAGAAAAAGACGGTATTTTAAAATCAGCGACACTTCTGTAGTTACTGAGAAAAACTGGATTTTGTTTTTGGTGAGGGGAGAGAGTCTAATTTAATCTTAAATTGAGATCCATTGGTAAATGAGAAGTCCAGAAACTGTGCTTTTCTAATCTGAGAATTTACAGAGAGAGAAGATGTGTGCCGCATGTTTTAAACATCCTCCACGAACAATACAGAGTCTGATTTTTTTAAAGGTACATTTATAATTCATTTGTATCAAAACTATTTTAACATACATGTGCTTTTTAAAATAAAAAAAATGAAGTAGAATATACCAAATGCATACATTTTATTCGCTAAACAATTTCAGTGTCTGAAATTTTGTGGTAGTTTTTTAATGTTGTGCTTCTTAATACAGAATGGGAAGTGGAATCCTCAGGTATCCAGGCATCTCTTGTTGAGTTGAAGATTATTCATTGCTTTGGCCTCACAAAGTTTGGGTTTCAACTATCGTAAGTGAAAATATTTTCAATTAATATTCTAATTAATGGTAATATTAATTAGAATAAAAAGAAATTGCTTTTTTGAAATATGTGTAACTTCTAAAAATAAAACTTTAAATTTACCTGTAGTTAAAGTCATCCTTTTGTGAATTGGGGAAGATATTATAATTGACAGAATCAAGCCTCTTCATGAATAGTGACTTGAATACTTCAGAGAGATGACTCTTCCACCCCTGGTTTTATCAGCAGGGCAGGAATGACTGAACTGAGTCGTGAAATCCTGGGGAAGAAATGCTTCCTTGGACCTTTAAATCCTACCTTTTCATAACTTTGGGTTAGACATGATTAAAATCGTTCTTAAAAATGACAAATGTGGGGCTTCCCTGGTGGTGCAGTGGTTGAGAGTCCACCTGCCAATGCAGGGGACACAGGTCCATGCCCCGGTGCGAGAAGATCCCACATGCCGCGGAGCGGCTGGGCCCCTGAGCCGTGGCCGCTGAGCCTGTGCGTCCGGAGCCTGTGCTCCGCAACGGGAGAGGCCACAGCAGTGAGAGGCCCGCGTACCACACACACACACACACAAAAAGGCACCAGGGAATGGGAGGAAGGGAGAAGGGAAAATCTGGAAAATACTTCAGAAGAATGCAATGCCTGAATCTGTAGTGTCGATGATCAGTATGAGTAACAATATTACTTAAATGTTGTTTTATTAAAACTAATCACATTTGTCTTTTTTTTTTCATTTTCAAAGAATCTCTCTGGCTGCTGTGTGAATAGGTTAGGATTAGAGTTGGGCAAACATGGAAAGAGCGAGCAATCTGGAGGCTTTTGCAGTGATCCAGGTCAGAGGTCATGGAGACTTGGACCAGAGTGGTCGAGATAGAAGTGTTCAGATTCGAAGTCCAAAGGCAGTGAGACTTGCTGATGAGAATACAGTTGACCCTTGAACAACACAGAGGTGTGGAGCAGTCAGAAATTCGAGTTTAATTTATAGTTGGCCCTCCATACACACGGTTCCTCCTGTCCCCCTTCTGGGGCCTGAAAAACCGCACGAGTGGTGGTGTCATTCCCAGAGCTAGGGAAGATGCGGGGCGGCTGTGGAGGAGAGCGATGGACGGCTGGTGGGGAGACGTACAGCAGCTCTGATCTGAGCAGGCAGCATTTGAGACAACCATTTAGTTAATCGGGTATTTGATGGGTAAGTTTACGTTGGTAAATGTAAGAACCTGAGAAACAGTAACATAAGGTAAGAGTCTAGAGATCTATATTTCGCCTGCAAAATGCTGGGAAGAACCCAAATTGCATGCCCAAAATATTTGGGAAACTGAATCGCTTACACAAAAGGACCTAAGGGAACAGTGTGTCATTTTATTTAGAAGCTCTAGTTGACTGTCATTTTCTCACTAAACCCCTACACACCTGGTGCGGTAAGGCTCTCTGAAGACGTCTATTTAAGCGTGTGTTTTACTTCCTGACATGGTTTCCAACGGTGTGGAGGAAATCAGCATCTGGCCTCTTTAAGAAAGTGGTTCATGTTATTCATCTAGAGACCGTGACCCTGAATGAGGGAACTACAGGGAAAAGGAAGCTTTAAAGCAATATGATTCCCCTTTAAAAACAGTTTAGAGTTATTTAAGAAATAAAAAAGAGGAAATATGGAAACTGTCTTCTAAACACAGAAAGAGTTCAGGTTAGAATAAAAGTAAGACATTTGGGGGCATTTTCCTTTCAGAACAGCAGCAGGAGTTAAAGAGACCAAAATAGTAGCTGAGTATAAGCTGGAACTGATAGAACCCAGGCCCACTTGAATGATGAGAGGATGCCCACAGCTGGTCCTCTCTGAAGGGACCACAGGCTGGGAGGGACACTGTGGTTCTTGAGGATGCCCGTTGCTGAGGGTGTGTGTGGGTGTGGTTTAAACGGAACTCAGTTACAGAAGTTGTGTTAAACACACCCTTCAGTTCATGGCTCACCTTCCTCTCTGGTTGCCTCAGAGCAGGTGAATGCATTTTGTATGTGGAAGAGATGTGAATTGTGGCTACAGGGCAGACTGTGGCTGATTGTTTTCCAGAGAGGGTGGAAACATCTCTCCTGTTCTTCTAGAAACTTGTAACCTATCAAGACATAGAGTTTAATTTCCTTCTTGACTATGAATAGGTTTGTGACTGTGTTGTAACCAATAGAATGATGGAGAAGTGTTACTTCATGACTATTGAGGCTATAGGGCAGGAAAGAATATGAAACTTCCAGTTTCTTAGCAGGAATACTTGTGCTGGAGACCTGAACCATCAGGCAAGTAGTATGACTGCTCTGAGGCCTCCATGCTGTGAGGAAGAACAAACTAGCCCATGTGGAAAAGCCCTGAGGCCCTCTCAACTCTCAGCTGCTCCAGGCACCTGTTGCAGCTCAAGCTTCCATGTGACTGCAACTGCACGAGACACCCCCAGCTAGAATCATCCAGGTGAAGCTTCTCGAATTCCTGACCCACAGAAGCCATGAGGAATAATAAAATGACTGCTTCTACTTTAAGCCATCACATTTTGGGGATAAGATGTTACGATGCACACCCTGGAAACAATTCTAGTGTGATATTTGCTTTTATTTTATGTGCCTTTTGTGTACTTTTGTGAGAATGTCTTTTTCATTTATATATATTATATGGTGCAATAGATTTTATTGTTTCTTTTTTCCCCTTTCAGCCTTGTAAAAACATGTGCTCGTTGCTGTGCCTACATCAGTTTCCAGCTGGAGCCTAGTATGCCTCAGGGTGCACGCACCACGTCTTACCTAGTCCTCTAGTCATGAGCCACTAGGTTGCCTCCAGCCCCCACTCCAGAAACAGAGCTGTCACGGACATCCTGGGACAAGTCCCCATACATCCTCCTGTGAGAGCTTCTTGGGGCAACAAACCCAGGAGTGGAAATGCTGGGTCAGAGGACATATGTACACTTACTCTAACCAATACTGCTGGACTGCTGTCAGGACCCTGCCCCAGTCGACACTAGCGGAGCAGAGAGAACTAAAACAAGCACAAAACGTTTGTTTGCTGGCCCAATTTCTACATTTTATTTACTTATTTACCAGTGAGTCTGCTGAAGGGTTTGTTTTCCATAAGCGCCCCAAGTACCCATGTGGCTCATTTCCTTCACTTGGGTCTTCCATTAGTGTCACCTAAACAGCCTATAGGAAGTGGCCACTGCTGCATCCCATCACTCTCCCTCCTTCTTTATTTGCTATGCTTTTCTTCATAGTTCTTACAGTTAGACATTTGTGTGTGTGTGTGTGTGTGTGTGTGTGTGTTTATTGTTTATTGTCTGTCTCCTCCCATACGAATAGTGTTGGGTGCACAGAGGGTGATCAGTGAAAATTTGCTATGAATTCATCGCCTGTAGCTTGACTTAACCAAGTGCCTTTCCAAGGAATCTCCCCAGCTCCTCAACCCACCCCGCCCTCAGCCAGAGGAGAGCACATTGGGAGGCACAGAACGTCTCTCCCTGCCTCTACTTTGGACTCACCAAGCACAGGGGTTAATGGCACCAGGACATCCTATTAGCACTTGGGACTGTTCTCTCTGGGGACGGAAGTTTGTTTCTGTTGGGGTTTCGGGTACTGTCGTTGCCCTGAATGTTTGTGGGGAGGTTTGCTGGCTCCCAGTTTCTTGCTGAATGGATGAATGGAATCATCAGGCCCTGGTCTGTGGTCTCATCTAATGCTCCTAAGACAGACAAAGGAGGAGTATTTAGAAAAAAAGGCGCTCCATAAAAAGAGTAATTTAGCACTGTACTGTCTGATACAATAACTACTGGCTACACGTGGCAAATTAAATTTAAATTAAGATAAAATGAAAAATGCAGTCCCTCAGTCACACTAGCTGAACTGGAAGTGCTCAAAGTTCACATGTAGCCAGTGTAGGTACAGATGTTTCCATCATCCTAGAAAGTTCTACTGGACAGCACTGTAGAAAGAAACGGTCTCATTCAGGCTTGTTCTGAAAACGCAGGCCCGCCTTTAGACTTCCTGATGGAATCTCTCTGCCTTCCTTCCTCCAGCTTAAAAGGGTCAGGATTTTGTTCCACCGTTAAAACAACGAGTACACTTTTGATTTGGAAAGACAGCCTTTTGGAGGACGCTTCTCAGTCAGCTAAATGTGTCCTCCACGTAGTTGTGTCAAACATAGCGCGTGGTAAGCACCACAGTCACACTGAGAAAACGTATACTGTCATATAGTGAGCATTTTTTGAGAATAAGTTTTATGTTTTATTTAAACTTTACACGCCGTATTAACTGTCCCTCTTTTGAGGGCCAGGATGAAGCATTGGGAAGTTGCTAAGTCTTTGAATTCCCAAGTTGTGTGTTCAAAGGTAAATTTAGTAAGTTGTTGCTATTGACCCTTGACAATTATGAACATCTGTTTCAAATTTAAAATTCTGCGATAAGAACTGAGGGAAAAAGTCAAATGTTATAAATTTATTTGGGACATCTATTGCCACCTCTTTGGAAGCCTTTGAAAATTCAAGCAAAATCAATACACATACATCTTTTTTTTAACTTTCAATAAATAATATCTTTGAGTATATGTATATATAGATAGATAGATTTAATTAATGAGTCATTTAGCAGTGTTTTTAAGTTTTATACTGCATTAATTCCAACACAGCTCTTTCCAGATTGATAGGATGCAAATGAGGTAAGAATTAAGGCAAACCTAAACGGCATGCAAATTTCGTACATTTATATTCACTGATAATACAAGCTCTTGTGTGTGGACCACACAGAGGAGTCAAGGGCCCCTCTGTGTGCCTGTCCAGTGCTATTTTACAGGAGAATGGTGACACAGCTTATAATTCAGTTACATTACCGTGAGGGTTTCAGTGCTACTAACATTATGTAATCAAGGAGACACGAGCATTAGCAAAACATGAACAAGAAATCATACAACTCTTTGCAGCACATTTCTGCCCAGGCTTTGGAGGAGAAAGGTTTTTTTTTTAATGAAATGATATCACACATATCACATTGTGGCAGGTTGTTTGTTTTATAATATATGCTTTTAAAATTCATTAGCAAATGACATTCTCATGCACACAAGTGTTTCAAACACAAGAAGCAAGTCCATTTATAGGTAGTCCAAGCAATATTTGTGTGTGTGTGTGTGTGTGTGTTAATAGCTGCAGACTGAATGGAACATTGAGACTTTTGTGCAGTCCATAGTGTTATCTCTGCTCATTTCTGAATGTCGCACTGCAGAAGTAATACGATGGAAGGGTCGCTCTTTGCAGCTTCTTTGAATTCATCCAGTGTAATCTGGTCGTCTTTGTTCTTATCCATCTTGCTGAAAATCTTGTCTACTCGCTGCTCAGGCGTGAGCCCATCCTCATTCATTTTCATCATGATCACGGTGCCCACCATTTTGTAGATAGCCTTGGGAAAACAGGAAACAGACCATAAAGTTCTCCTATGATAGGGTAAAGAATCTAAATCTACTTCAAAGGACTCCTTCAATGGTTTTAAGTAAGATAGTGGTGTAATCAAACCTGTGTGAGTCTCATGACCAATTGGCTAGAGAAGAATTTCATGTGATTCCCAGGTTTCTGACTGGAGGAAGTGATTATGAAGGGTAGTGGTGAGATCAAGAATAATGGATTAGGAACAGGTTCAGGAAGGAAAATGATGAGCTCAGTTTTTGTGTGTTTTTTTGCGGTACGCGGGCCTCTGACTGTTGTGGCCTCTCCCGTTGCGGAGCACGGGCTCCAGACGTGCAGGCTCAGCGGCCATGGCTCACGGGCCCAGCCGCTCCGCGGCATGTGGGATCTTCCCGGACCGGGGCACGAACCCGTGTCCCCTGCATCAGCAGGCGGACTCTCAACCACTGCGCCACCAGGGAAGCCCCGAGCTCAGTTTTAAACATTCTGAGTTTGAGGTCAGATGAGAGGCAACAAGCTCTACTCCTTGGAGATTTAGGAAAAGGTGAAGTGTGGTCCCAATTTACAATCTTTTAAGAAAGCAAGCAAGGTGGACCAGTAAAATTTAGCCCTGAAAGAAGTTAGTTTAGGGGGATCTGTGAATCAGGGACTCTGTTCATAAGTCAAAGAACAGAGTAGGAAGATTCCATTTTCCAGTTCAATTAATTGTGCACAATTAATTCTCAAAATGGGAATTAAATGTAGAAATGAGTTTCTTTCCTAGGAAAGTGCCTTAAAAAAATAAATGCTCATCTCCACAAAGACTTGCAGGGGAATATTCACAGCAGCTTTTTAAATAATGGCCCAAAAGTGAAAACAGCACAAATGCTCATCAACTGCTAAACAGATAAACAAAATATGACATATCTGTAAAACTGAATACTATTTTAGCAACAAAAAGGAATGAAATACTGATACATGCTATAGCATAGATAAACCTCAAAAAAAGAAAAAAAAGCCAGATATAAAAGGCCAAACATATATTGTACGATTCCATTTATATGAAATGTCCGGAAAGACAAATCCATAGAGACAAAGTAGTTTCCGGAGTCTGGGGGCACCAACAGGCATGAGGGACCTTATTGAGAGAATTAAAATGTTCTAAAATTGGATTACAGTGATGGCTGCATACTTCGGTAAGTTTACTAAAAATCACTGAATTGTAAAGCTAAAATGGGTGAAGTTATGGCCTGTTAATTATGACTCAATAAAGTTTTAAAGAATGCCAGTTAGAAAGAGTAAACCATAACAAGAGCTTCATTGAACAAGTAAGATGTCTATTGAGATAAAATATATTTTGTTTGCTCATTTTTGTAATTAGAGTGTGTTGATTTATGGTAGAAAAATATCTAGGACATTTGACTTTAAAAGAAGCAGACTATTAGGACTTCCCTGGTGGTCCAATGATTAAGACTCTGTGCTCCCAATGCAGGGGGCACAGGTTTGATCCCTGGTTGGGGAACTAAGATCCCGCGTGCAGCATGGTGCCACCCCCAAAAAAAAAAAAAAAAAAAGAAAGAATCAGACTATTGAAATTTCATTTGAGGGACAATTGGTAGAGGGGGTCCTGATTAACCTAGAAGCCTGAGTGGTATGTGAGGGAAAAGCAGACATGCCTGGACTTTAAAAAAGAGACAGATGGGTCATCCGCACGCAAGCTGCTACTCTCACTCTGTCCTCTGAAGGGTGAAATGAAAAGGGCTTAAAGGAGCAATGGGTAGGAAGGCTGTTAGCACGACAAATGCACCATTGATGAAGACACGGCAAAAAGAAATGTAAACCCACAAAGTCCACCCTGGACCACATCTAACAGCTCTGAACATGGCCAGTTCTCATTTATCGTCTCCAAGATGCAGCCCTGCACTGGGATCATGAACATGACAACCAGGAAATGACATGCCAGATGCAGACTCACACTTCACACCAACCTAGGCCAAGGGCATGTCAGGGTCAGAACTAAATATGAACGTGTTCCCTGACAAATGTAAGGAATCCCTGTAGGCGCATGTGCTTCATGGGGTGCTCCGGCATGCAACGAAATATGTAGCACTGTCTTCTCTGAAAAAAGGATGTGTTATCACAGGTGCTTTCCCGGGAAGAAATAACTGTCTCAGGTACTCTCTTATTCAACCAAAACTTGTGGACCCATTAGGCCTGTGCCCAACACTCCAGGGCAGATGCACTGTCCTTCATTGGGGTTACGTGGCCCTTGTTGGTCTCTCCTCGCACTGACCCTCCCCCATCACAGCACCTGCCTCACTCTGCTGTCATCGTCTGTGTGGACACAGGCCCTTGGGTCAGTGAGCTCCTCCAGGGTGGGCACTTGTGTCTCTTCACGTCTGTCTCCCCTCCACCTTGCAGGAGGTTGGCACCTGCAGAAAAGCTGACTACAGGCTACAGGAGCCTAGAGGGTGGTGGGCAACTCTGGGGTGAAGTGGGCCAAGAAGACTTCTTGGATGTGGCAAGATAACCTAGACCTTGAAGTGTGAGAGGATTTGGATGGGCCCAGAGCCCTGAAGGACATTCCAGGGGAAAAGCATGGTAGAAGCAAAAGTGGCCAGCTGTGCGTGTGCAAGAGTGAGGGGCCCTGGATGGACGGTGAGGCCAGAGAAGACGTGCAGGCAAACAGACGTTGGCCGGACCAGCTGTCAGAGATCTGTGTGCCTGTGCCTGACACAGAGGACCTGCTCTGTAAGCCTTTTGATCAAATGAATGAGCAGCTCCTGAAGCGCAGAGATGCTGTAAAGACTGTATCAGTTATTGATACCTTGGTTCTGGAAAGGTAGCTCAGCAAAGGAACCTAGAGGCCAGAAAGGGTGCCAGGTGCGGGTGCAAAGGGCCAGAAGTTGGTGAAAATACCGGAGGTGGAGACGGGGAGCCACGTGCAGAGGGAACATGAAGGTGACACGGCTGATTAGAAGGAAAGAAGCTGAGAGTTGAGGCGGATGATATTTCCAAGGGAGACAGAGCCTCGAGAGCTAACTGCCGGTTACTGAGCATTTCCTCCATGAGAGGAAGTGTGCCATGTGCTGAATCGTGACCACAGACTTGGGGCGTAGGTTTTATTACCTTTATTTTTTCACGAGGACACTGAGGCTCTGGTGCCCTCAAAGCCCTGTAGTCGGGAAAGCAGCAACGCCAGGCCTGACCCTTGCTGCTGCTGGGTTTTCCAGTTGACTTGGGAAGGTAAGTGGGTACCAAAGGGAGAAAAGGGACTAAAGATGCCAAGGGAGGGTGGGTAAGTGGAAGGCAGGGCTCCAGAGGCCACAGGAGGAGCGAACTGCGCTGGGGAGCCACCCCAGGGGAGGAGAGTGAGTGTAGCATGGTGGTCATCTGGGGATTTGGTCACTTGGGTTTTGGCTACTGTTTCTTCCCATCAGCCCCCAGTTTTCATGTGGGGATCCACCCTCCCCGATCTCAGCTCTGTGGTCTGGACGGGGCCTCACGCCAGCTCCAGGATGGGACACTTGGCTTTGGCCTGTGGCAAGTGGTGCATTTCCCCCCTTGGGTCACACTGGTCGGTGCAGAGGTGGACACACACGCTGAGACAGTTGGTCAGTGAAAAGGCACTGATTCATTCATCAGTAATTGAGTGCCCACCAGGCTCCAGGACTGTTCTAGGTTCTAGGGATACAGCAGCGAGTGAGGAGAGTCCTCTCTTGACAGTGCTTGCGTTCTACCATGTGAGGTTATTGGGGGCAGTGATAAATGCTGTGACAAAAAATCATGATGGTAAGAGGTTAGATAGCCCTGGGGTGGGGCACGGGCACTCTTCGGGGAGGGGAACGCAGGGAGGAAGCCCTGCCGGGAGGTGAGATGAGGGCAGAGCCCTGAGTGGAGTGAGGGGCCCGGGGAAGGGCCCTGGGCAGAGAGAGAGGACATCAAGGCCCTCACGTGAGGCTGTGTTCTGGGAAAACCAGGAAAGCCCAGGCATCTCGAGCACGGTGTGTAGG